GGAAAGGAAATATTTTAAGCACAGATAATGTGAACCTAAATTTCTTCGTGGTACTAGCCACTGAATTATCTCACTTTGGATCTTTGGTCAAACTTATTATCCACACTGTTTTGTTGAGTTGGTCCACTTCAGTCTGTTGAGCACAAAACGAACAATTCAAAGAACTTACTTACAAGTTGTGAAATAATTGTGTAGTCCTATCTTATGACTATACCCTAACCACGTAATTCCCCTCGTTTGGTAGAAGTGTAGGGGTTCTTCCACCTCTTCTTTTTCATGGCTTTTGTTCTCTTGTATCCTTTCCAATTCTACTTTATCAGCTCCTGGTCCCTCTGGATTTGGGGTGTTTGAGGGGCAGGCATTGGGGCCTTTTGGTATTGCAAATATCTTTTGATTCTCTACTCTCACAAAAGCGATTTGCAGAATGCCCTAATGAACTTCGAACCAAACTACTTGTGGTATGCCAAAATAGTAAGCAATACTAGATTTGTTCTTTTTATTGCCTCAGACATTAGATGCCAATTATAAAATTTCCTTCTTTAAATGAAAAATTAGTACTCAAATTGACTAGCTATGGCAAGTTTTAGATGTAATCTTAATCATCTAATCTTGTACTCCTATCCAAATATATAAATTTTGCATAATTATCATTCATTCAACGCTGACAGTGTATACAATGTCAGTATAGGAAAGATAATCCTATATATATATATATATGTATGTATGCAAAATAACTAGCAATGGTCACCATATTTGAACACGACCTAATTCAATCCCGATAGGTTAGGGAACTAATCCTAGAAGGATTAATACGAAAATCATCACCCTTCTCATATCGGTCTTGTATTTTTCTGGTGTAAGTACTATACGATGGGGTACCCATGGCGACGACTAGAGTTGAACTCATCTAAATTTTTTTTTATGACGATATATATGGCTTATGTAGTTAATATTTAACAGAGTATTAATCTCTTGGAATGACACTTAATTTTTAATTATATATCTTATGTTGAATTGATGAAATGCTTTCTTTATTAAATTTCCAGTTAGCATTAAAAATTGCAATATCCGTCCGCGCGCAGACCTCTGGTAAGTCAGAAATTGCTGGCTTGCCAGTTTCTTACGTTCTGTTCTGTCGGCATTTCAGCAGCCCCAGCCCTCAAAGTCAATGCCCAAAGTTCTTTTCATTTCGGTGTGTAATGGGAAAATGTAACGAGGTCGAATGTCCATATGAATGTGTCAGAGTACTATTTCAATGGTCCACTTCCAAATACCATATTGCAACTGCACAACCACCAGCATTTGGGTTAGCCATTAAGGCTGGTTGCCTTCTACCAAATGCCATATTTAAAATGGCTTGGCTTCAAAATATTCAGACGGGTGCATAATGCATCCGTTTAATTCGATGGTGGTTCAGTTCTTTCCGATTTATCCTTGGATTTCTTTAGGTCCGCTCCCTTTCCCCTAGTGTAGGATAGATTATATTATACAACAGTTATCGTCTCCAAAAAAAATATGTATATTGCAACTGGACATGTCAATACAAATTGACTCAATTGATAAGCACGAATCACTTTTTTGTATAAATGTTATGTGTTCAAATCTCATTATCAATACAAAAATTGTGTTAGTGAGGGATCAATAAAAATCTTTATAAGCAATCTATAGTTTCGGGGTATGCCCTATTTCATAGCCGTCATCGAGAAGTCAAACTCATGATGCAATTTTATAGTGTTTTTTTTTTTTGAAACATAATTTTATAGTTTTTTTGCTTCTCTTAAAAGGTAGCCATAATGGCACAACAGTTGGCACATTATTTTGGACCAGGTAGCTCTTAATCCAGTTTAAAAAGCTTTAACTTCCAAAGCATGGGAAGAATGGTACACATACCTCACATACAAGAATGGTACGTTCTAGCCTTTGAAATTTCTTTTCCAAAAAGAAAATTATAAAAATTTTGAACCTTTAATTGGTTTGAAGAGACCAATGAATAGAGTAAGAAATGCTTTGGAGAAGATTTACTACCTAATGAATTATTCCATTGACTTTCCAAAATGAAAAGATAATTGGCATTGGAACTCCTCAAATTTCAACGTATATATATTACCATCCCTTTTGTTTCCAAGTTGTATCATTTTCCCAGATGCATATTGTCATTACAGCTTAATTGCCCTATTTCATAGTCCTCATGCTTATCTGAATTAGACATGTAATGCAACTTCACCCCATGTTATTAAAAATTCTGGAAAGAAAACAACTGCAATTTAAAAATAAAAACAAAAAAAAAAAAAGAAAAAGGGAAGATTCTTGCAATAAGATCAAAAGTCATGGGAGGCCTTTTAGATTTTCACAAAAGAAAGAGACAACTCCTTGCATGTGGCTCAACATGATTGATTTGTCCAGACTTTAAAATTACAATGAGACATGAAGATACCCATTTGCTTTCTCTAGTCTAATCTCCTGAATTGGGTAGAAAAAATATATTATGGCCACCACCAAGATCAAGATCATCATAACTAACTAACCACCTTAATAATTGACCAATTTCAACATTCATGTCCTTGATTTTTGTAGTATTAAGATGTGGATGTTATACCACTCCATTTCCATCATTCCATCTGTTGGAGTAGGACCATAATCAACAAGAGTTGGATGCAAATTATTAAGGATCTATATAATATATGTCTATTGATTTGGGACTCGAGATTTTTGAGTAGAAAAGCCAAGCCATACGAGTATACGACACCTAAGCAAATCATCCCTTCATCTCCAACCCCACGTAACTGATACAGGAGCATTCCATCTTCCACGACAAATATGGAACTGTTCATTCATCATTCCACTTCAAATTTTTCAAAATGAAGATTAATAATAGAGTACTTCAATTTTGGGATGTAACGTTGAAACTCATCATGTCTGAGTCGGTGGTGTGCATGTCAACACCAATTAAAGCCTAACCAAGTTTTCAGTACCATTGTTGGAATGTCAACATATCACCTGTCTATTCTATTCTAAGATAGAGTAGAGTAGAGGAGGCACTTGAAATTTCTGAGTCCAATCCAAACTTCAGTAATTGTGAATTGTTCAGTTAATTATTGAATTCATCATGTTATATTGTGGTAAAAATATTTTGAAAATTTAGTTCGTTTATATTTACATTGAAAAGGAAAAAAAAAAAAGAAGAAGAAAAAGATTTGAGAATTGATTTAGAGACTTGGCAGTCATTATTTGCCAATGGAAAATATTCGTTTAGCATTTGCCTTATTCCAAAAATTAATGATAGATTTCATATAACCACGTTCTAAATCAATTTCTTTTTTACATCTAAATAGAACCGAAGAAAATCATTAAGATACTGTGTCTGATTTTAGACGATTCATAAAATTCTTCATTAAAATTCATAATTCCATAGTTTCTCCTTATAGCATATATCTAAACAATCAGGACAAGGGGTCCGAATAGTCATCAGGAAAACTGTTCCGAGCGATTTTATGTAAAATGCATAAAATGTAATTTTATATGCACACGATATAACTTACTTTCAATAACGTGTAACTGTAGAACAAATTTTTATGAGTTCCACATGTGAAATGAAAAACCGAGAGGAGGAAGAGGCAGACTGGCAGAGTGAGGGTGGCCGGACCACAACGAATACGAGGCTGCTAAGGATGTGAGAGTTGTGATTAAATTTGCTGATTTGATCACCGCAATAGCACCGAAATACAACTTCCTTCGCCGCGCACCGCTCGCCACCGCTGACTATTTTGATAAATAATTTGAAAATCTCAAAAAGATCAAACTGTCCCAACTGGCCAACTACTAGCAAGAGATGATACATTAAGGGTAAAAAAGAACTCGATGGCTCCAATCGTAAATAAATAAAAGAACAGGATCCAACTCTACTGACACAGGGACTACACGTCACTTAAACAATATATATACATGCACATATATGACTTACTGTATATGACAGTAGAGATGAAATTCCCAAATTACACTTATAAATACCACTGAATGCCACAAATATACACACAATTAAGGGGACGAAACCAATTCCAATTGCGCTTCAAATCCCAATAAAATTTTAAAAAATAATTAATTAATACACGTGACACATAAATAGGAACAGTATGCACGAGACGGAGAAAAAATTCGAAACAACCGATTTTAAGCGGTCCTATTGCACGCAACTGCTGCTTTATAGTAGTAAGCAAAGATAAAAAGATATCTAAACAATTACTACATGTATCCCTTGTTTATTTATTTATTTATTTATTTTTCTCCCAGCAGCTACAGGATAGAAATATCAGTAGTGAGATTAAGGCTTAGTTTGGGAGTTTAGGATAGAAGAGAAAAGAAGGGAAGAAGAAATTGTTATGTTGTTTGAAAATTTTGAGAATTAGTGAAATGATTTTGGACATAAAAATCATTAGATATTAGTTCAAAACCTTTTTAAAGACAAAATAGGCATTTTAAAAAAATCATCAAACTTTCCCCAAACTTTCTTCTCATTTCCTTCCAATTTGGGAGGAAGCATTTTGATAATTATTCATCCTTCCATTTCCTTTCTTTTCTTCCTTACTTAAAACTAACAAATGAAGCAAAAGTAAACCTTCTCTTCTTTCCCTTTTTTTTCTATCCAAACCCTCCACTCCCAAACGAACCCTAAGAGACATAGACCCTTTTGCAAACACAAATCATTTTAAAAAATTTTTTTTTTTCTGAAAAAAATTACAATCAAAATCCAACTTACATCTCATATAAACATGGAATGCTCGAATATGCAATACAAATATATATATATATATATATATATATATATATATATATAAAGAATTCATAAAAAAAAGAAGAAGAAAACAGAAAATGAAAGCGATATTGTTATGCGTTAAAATTGCTTATAGTCACTAGTCAGCATCTAAACTTCCAAGAATACAAATGTTTTTTTCTTGAAGGGAGGGAAAAAAAAAAGATAAAGATTATGAGATAAAACTAAATACTCAGCCCCTGCACATCGGAGACCGATCGTTGGCCACCTTGGGAGTCTTCGGCCGGAAAACCTTCATCGAACTGGGAAAACTCCATCCTTTCCCCTTGCCCGACGCCGAAGCCGACGAATGTCTTCGCTCACCGGAATGATTCATCATTCCGACGCTCACGGACCTCGACCTCACCATCATATTAGCGAACTCCTCGATACTAGCGTTACTACAACTTTGCCTACATTCATTATTTCCATCACTATTACAAGAATTAGCAAATTTCTGCTCCGCCGGAGCCGCAGCCGCAGCCGCCGCTACCTTCGAATTTTCGTTTTCTTTGTTCTCCTCAAATTCTTCTCTCTTCTTACTCTTACTACTATTCAGCCCAAACTTCGCCAAAAGCGCGGCCGTTCTGCTCTTCTTCCTCGCTGGCGAATTCTCCGCCTGCTTCTCCCGCGCGAAGCGGGTAAATAAGAAAGGAACTCCCACGGACCTCGATCTCCGGAAGGCCGACTCTTTGTCAAGGAGGTCGGAAACTCGGCCGCCGCGGCGGGAAGACGAGGCAGATGAGAAGAAAGAGAAAGTTGACGAAGACGAGGAGGAGGAAGATGACGTCGTCGTCGCAGGGCAACATGCGCAGGGGCGCACGTTGGCACAATCAGGACAGAGAGTTATGAGCCGGTCCCGGAGACACGTAGGACAGATTCCGTTGCGACGGCGTTTGGAAGGGTGTTTTGGACATTTGAACACTTCTTCTTCGTCCATGTAAGCAGCCATCGCTGGTGATTTGATTTTTCAAGGCCCTCTTTCTCTCTCTCTCTCTCCAAATGGAATGGAACTTTCTCTCTCTAGAAGTGGTCCGAATTTGTTTGGGTCGGAATAGTTGGTGGAGGAGCATATATATAGGCAGGGAAATGGCTGGGGATACTTTAACCAGGGTTAAAGTTACTCCGGGTTTGTTAACCATGGATAAGATGAAGAGCCTCCTATGGCGTCTAGAGTAAATATTGTGTCCATCAACGCAACACAGTAATTATTCTAATTAATATTTCAAACAATACTTTATTCAAACAAATCTAGAATGTATTTGTTTAGATTGGATTATATATTATCTGGTTATTGATGATTAACATATTTATTAAAGTTCTTTTGCATAATCGCATTTGATTAATGAATAAGTAATGATTAACCCTTTTCTTGAGGAAAATAATGATTAACTTTATTTTTAAAAACAAATGGATTTTGTAGCCTGAGGCAATGATAAAACCTTAGTGGGCTAAAATTACAAGATATCATGGGACAAGGTAAACTGTGATATTTTTAAGAAGTAGCCATTATTTTTAAAATTTGTTCAAACAGTTGGATTAATGAGTGTCCAATGGACTCTCGTGAAGAGGGGTCTCAAGCATTAAATTTTTAGAAAATGTAATTAATTTGAGAAAATGACTAAATACATGGTGCGTTATTTGTGATTGTGGATGATCACATGGTAAATTATAGATAATTTAACTGTGCATAGTGAACATCTATTCCAAAAAATCAGTGTTTGGATAGTAAATTTCTCCAAATTGGTTTGTTTGGATTGTAAGTTATTTGGGATATTTTTACTGTAGCACTTTTTGTGATGTAATGTATGTGAGATAAAAAGGTAATTGGGAAGATAAAAAGGTGTATTGGAAATTGTAATGATGATGTAAGCAAATAAAACTGGGTAAATAATGCTCAATCCAAACAAACCACGCTTGTATCATAAACACATTTCCCAACTCACCTTTTTATATTTTCATATAACAAAAAGTGCTATAGTAATTATTCCAAATAATATTTCAAATAATAATCTATCAAAACATATTTTTAAAAGCTATGTTTATAGCTGATGACAGAAGGGCAAACAAATTGAGTAGTGTGGTTCTAATGCCCTGTCCATTATTCGTTTTTAAGATCTCATTCCTTTTCTCCGCTTCTTAGATTTCATTCCTTCTCTATTAGAAATTTTAAAAAAAAAATTAACTATCGTGGTGGTTGAAATGTGAATAAGGAAACACCAGCCAAGAGTGTATGTGAGGTCATCGTTTCGAGTTCGCCTGTTACTATATAGCGTATTCTTGGAGCGGGCTCTGTACCACCGCAGGAAATTAGTCTGGCTTAAGTCAGAATAGCCCCTACGTTAGAAAAAAAAAAATACCAACGAGGAGATGATGATGGACATCGAAAGCTTCATATGTATATAAAAAAAAGACTTAATCACGTTTTCCTCAAAAACTTTGATTTTTATTCAAAGTTATAAAATTTAGGCCCCCAGCTACATTAGGTCTTGAATAGTCTTTCTTTTTTTTTTTGGGTGGTATATTTAGCATGGGTGGGTTTTGAAGGCAGAAATGAGAATGGCAAGTGGAATACACCGATGACAATTGAGTAATCTATCAAATAAACAAAAACCAAAATCCCTTGATCTTACAATCATATTTCTACAGTTGAGTTCTTTAACAATGATTTGACAGTTTCTATTGTTGGTACAATTTCACACAATATCAGTGATATATAGTCTAGCATAATTTTCAGTGGGGAAAAAATTAAGCTTATTTTGATTAGAGATGCATTCTGAAGTTTTTAGCAAGTTGTTTTTGGGACAGATATTATATTCCTATGAAGTATCTGTGTGTTTGCAATGAAATTTGTGAAGCTCTTAAATTGATCTCATTTGCAATATAATCTACATATCCAGGTGAGGGAATTTTTTTCACTGCTAGAAATCTATTTTAGTTGCTTGAGTACATCAATTTAATTGGTAAGGATAGGAAGACCGCAATGTTGCTACTGGTAAGCAGTTGAACCTTAGAAAATTCCTAAAAATCTTGCTTCAACAATTTGAACTAACTACTTCACTTTTTTTTTTTTAAACACATATAATTTAGGTACTTTCGATGAACTGTCCTAGATAACTGAATGTTTGTCTCTCTTTTTTTTTTTTTTGGGGTTCAAAGCAAAATAACTGAATGCTTACTTAGTAATTAACTTACTAAATAATTTGGAAGCTCTTCGAATGATATTTCATTTTTCAAATGATTAATTATTCTTTATGCGTCATAAATTGTATCACCTCCATCATAGATTACCACTTTACCAGACATTAATTCTCTACTTGGTATGCCGCAAGGAAAAACACCAAACATCGCTAAAACATCATACACTTATAATTGGAACTAAGTTTTGTGATTATTGATTATTTTGTATCAACTGGGTACAAAAATAGTGCCAGAATGAATACGAAAGGTACCCTGAATTTTTTAAACCAGTCAAAAGGAACCAATTCGGTGTGTCAATTGACCATATGAAATCAGTTGGTAAGCAGTTTTTTATGAAAAGTATATGACAACCAACGCGCTTTGAAACTTCCATTTAATGCAATATTTCTCACCCTCTTTTTTTTTTTTTTAAATTTCTCACCCTCTTAATTGTTCTTAACAACCTTTTTCTAAAACAAAAAAAAAAGAATAAAATTTGAGAACCATTCAAATCGAGGTAACTAATTTGAAGGTTGTATCCAACAAATAGCAATTCAACCCAAATAAATTGTAGTCCCTCCGTCCGATTTTGACAGTCTTGGTTTTTTTTCACGTGGTTTAAAAAATAGTTAATCTTATTGAAAGAGTAAATCTTGCCTACTATTTTTCTGAAATACCCTTATGTTAATAATATTAGGAGTATGACTAATTATTATTTTTTACATTAATTGCAACAACAATAGTGACGAAAAATTGCACCATTCAAGACATAATCAAAGCAATTATTGATAAAAAAAAGTTAGCTGTGGTAAATAAGATAGTTTATACTCATTAATAATAGAGTACATTAAATAAAGGTATTTTAAAAAGTTAAAAAGTTAGCAATCTTTTTCAATTGAAAAGTAGACTAAAATTTAGGATGAATAATAAAGAAAAACAAAACTATCAAAGTGGGACGGAGGGAGTGCAACTTTATCCGTGCTCTTTATAACAGAAAATACATATTAGTAGTGTCAAATTTACGTTGTGTTTATCAGATCATATATTTTGAAATTAATATTTTTGCTTTATTGACAAAACTTTTAAAAGCACCTCACTTGATTGAAAGGATTATATCTTTTGGATTTGGCTGACACATACTCAATAAGCACCGGTTAAGAGAAGCTTTCAGTGTTATTGTTGCAAAAGTATCATTAATTTTAGGGATAATTTTATAAACTTCCCCGAGATTTTTAATAATTGCAATCACTTCTCCTGAGGTTTGAAAAATTGTGGATACCTCCCCTAGAAAATGTCTTGATAAAAATTGACGATGTAAGGAAAAATATCCAATGAATATCCAATATTACCCCTCTCTAATATGTAAAAGAAATTAAAATGCTAAAATGTCAACTATCACCATTGTTCGTTAGCTTAGTTTTTTGCAGAAAAATTTGAGCCATGTTTTGAAAGCATGCTTTTTTGGTACATTGGATTTTTTTTTGGTTAAGTAATTTTTGAAGATACTTATATTAACAAATACCTACCTAATTGGTTGATCGACTTTTTGTAAATTGATTAATAAATCTAGTCAAAAAAATTGGGAACGAATTATATTGTACTAGATCGAATTATAATTAGGACAAAAAAGTATTATAAAAAAATTTCCATTTTGCTCTTGTCAACTCATTTCCACTTAAAATTTGTAAAGTTTGTGAAGGCTATTGATAGCTTTTTAAAGTACCAAGGGAGATTGATAGCTATAATTTTTCAAACCTTAGAGGAGGTAGCTGCAATTGTCAAAAACCTCGGGAAAGGTTTTTAAAATTATCCCTTAATTTTAAAAAGCATCCACATGCGAGATTAAAATAAATGTGAATATGTGCATTCATACAGTAAATTAGTGTGTTAATGACAATCTTTAAAAAAAAAATCATACTTTTACTTACTCCATAATTCATTGAGACACACAAATCAAATGTATTATTTGCTTACATCATCAGCACATTTTTTAATCGTCTTTTTATTTTATATGCATCGCATCAAAAAAAGTGCTACAGTATTTTTTTAAAAAAATTATCCCAAATAATTTACTATCCAAACAATTGGATTGCCATTAAAAATTAATGGCAAACAAATAAATGGGCCAATTTTGGGGTCAAGAATAACATCATTATTTGCTGGAGGATCTTTCCACTTTGGGGGAGAAATTGATTGGTGACGAAACGTGCATGTGCGGTTGGCTAAAATAGAAATTTCAGGGCGGTAGAAGCGGGAGCACCGGTGACTAGCGAGTTGAAACTGTAGAACATAACCAACCGTCACGACGTCGGCGTTTCACACTAGGAATTTAGAGGGGAGTTCGTTCTGATATAAAGGTTGTGGCCTTCTGGATGTTTAATGAATTGACCCTTTCTCGTTTCTACTCTGATGATGATGAGAATACTTTTTTGATCTGATTCTCTTCTATTCAATGGCTCGTGGTAAAATAAGGATAGCTCTGAATTTGAAAACAGTAGCAACTCATGAGGGTTTGGGGTGAGGGGGACGCGGATTTGCTTGACTAGGTTTCCATGTACTAATAATGTACAAGTATATATGACGAAAGAAGACTGTCAACTATTCTATTTTTCTTTCAAAAAACAATACAGAAGCTAGTATTATTAATAAATTAGTTGAAAATCGTTCAACATGATTTGCTTAGCTGCACTGATGGCAGAAAATGTATAGAACATGTCACAGATATATTATTGATAAACTATTCTGTAATTAACTAACCAAATTTACTCAAAT